GTCATAGCTCACAGCAACCTCAAACTCTTGGGCTTAAGTGATTCTCTTGCCTCAGCCTTCCAAGTAGCTGGGACTACAGGGGCCGCCACAATGCATGGCTGTTGGTTGGTTGTAGTTGTTGTTTGGCAGGCCCAGGCTGGATTTGAACGCACCAGCTCTGGTATATGTGGCTGGCTCCCTCGCTGCTGAGCTACAGGCACCAAGCTGTCTTTTAATCTTCTTAATGGTGTTTCTTTTGAAGAACAGATGTTTTTAATTTTGATGAAGTCTAATTTATTCTTTAAAATGGATAATGTTTTTAGAGTTTTGTTTATGAAATCTTTGCCTAACCCCAGGTCATAGGGCTTTCTCCTTTTTTTCTCTAGAAGTTTTATAGTTTTATCTCTTATGTGTAGATCTGTGATACAGTTGGAGTGTTTTTTTTGTTTTTTTGTTTTTTTTTTTTTGAGTCAGAGTCTTAAGCTGTTGCCCTGGGTAGAGTGCTATAGCATCATAGCTCGCAGCAACCCTCAACTCCTGGGCTTAAGCGATTCTCCTGCTTCTGCCTCCCAAGTAGCTGGGACTACAGGCGCCCGCCATAATGCCTGGCTATTTTTTGTTGCAGCCGTTATTGTTTGGCAGGCCCAGGCTAGATTCGAACCTGCCAGCTCATGTGTATGTGGCTAGCACCTTAGCTGCTTGAGCCACAGGCACCAAGCTGGAGTGTTTTTTTTTTTTTTTATGAATGGTATGAGGTAAAGATCTAAGGTCATTTTTTTTTTTAATACAGTCATTTCCACATCATTTGCTATAAAGACTCTTCTTCCCATAAAATTGCCTTTGGATTTTGTCAAAAGTCAGTTGACTCGCTCAGTGCCTGTAGCACAGAGGTTATGGTGCCGGCCACATGCACTGAGGGTGGCGGGTTTGAACCTGGCCCAGACCAAACAACGACAACTGCAGGTTGCTGTGAGCTGTGATGCAATGGCACTCTATTGAAGGTGACATAGTGAGACTCTGTCTCAGAAAAGTCAGTTGACTGTAAATGTGAGGGTTTCTTTTGGGATTCTCCATCTGTTTCATTGATTTATATGTATATTCCAGTGGTTCTTAACTGGGTTGGTTTTGTTCTCCAAGGGACATTTGGCCCTGTCTGGAGACATTTTTATTGTCACAGTTGTGTATATATATTTGTATAAGTGGGATCGATGAGGTAGAGACCACAAGACAACCCTCCACAACAAAGAATTATTGGGGTATAGAATATTTACAGTACTTAGACTGGGAAACCCTCA